GCCCCTGAAACAAACCACGCAATGGATGCGCTGCATAAACACCGGGAACTAGATCGGAGTCTGGCAGGCCTAATTGACCATGCACACCCATAGCACATGCCAACATTCGGTCTGTGGCGGCACGTCCAGTTCGTAAAAACACACAACACCAAACCCCATGGAAGAAAAGCATTTATGTTAAGACGTCGTAATCAGTGATGACAGAGACAAGGGGCGGGGGATGCGGGAAATAGGAGGACATTGTTGGCTCCTAGGCGCCTGGAGCAGATAGCGGATCCCGGTGGAAAGGACCTCCTCGTAGGGGCCAAACATGTGATCTATGTTGTGATCCCTGAGGCCAATTGGGAAGGAGGGAGGAGATGCGTGGTTGCTGAAACTGCTGACGAAATGCCGCAGTAGTCGGCCACAGACGAGCAGTCCTCGGCTTCCACCAATTCGATTGGGCTTAAACATGCACGTTCTTCAATGATTCCGATAGGAGAAAATGTAGTTAGATTTTTTAAGTTTGCAAAATGCCAGCACAAATATCTATGCACTATCTGGTACAGTATAAATGCGGATATATGTGAAATTTTTTTCCGAATGACAGGAGACCTCGACCTGTAGCATTGTTTAAATTTGGATGTAATATCAATGTACACATGCCCGACCGTAAGAGGACTCCGTGTTTTGTCATACTCCTGTGGCATCCGCTTCAATGCCCCCTTCCCCCCTCCCCTCCTTTGCGGCGCCTCGTTGTCAGCCGATGACCGCGACAACAGGCACTCCGCTGACGCACAGCCTTCCCTCTGGTCTGTTCTGGGCCGCCTCTTGCTCGCCTTCAACGGATCACGTGTGCGCACGCAGTCTCTCACCGCCACACTCGCTTCCAACCTCCCCGCTTTTTACCCCTGCGTGCCCTTCTGAGCATGCACACCCGACTCCGTCCAATCACATGTCCTGCACTCACCTGCACATCCCCTCATGATGTGCTGACGCCCACGCAATAAACCTCACATCACGACTTCCGCTCACCCGAGCGGACGCTTTCCTCTGACCACAAGCAAACAGCCAACGCGCGGCAATACGCCCTGTGTACAGAATAAGCCAGTTCTCACTACCTCTTCACTTCTGACATTAGACAAAACGAACTTATTGTGTGCGCTGGCTTATGCCCTCCAACGTAAGTAAGTACAACTTTGTTCAACACGGCAGCTGCAGAGACTCCAAGCCCAGGAATTACTTTCTAAACGGTACACCATTGCAGCATGTTGATAGGCTGAAGTATTTGGGTGTGTGGATTACATCCTCATTCTAGCTAATACTAAACTGCGCGAAGCCGGTCAAGTCGGTCATGTCTATATTGCAGCTCATTAGGCAAGCC